GTACACTAACGTTTGTAACCAAGCAAAACCTACTTTGACCTTTGAAATAAAGCCAAACAAACATTGACCTTTGAAAATAAGTAGAAAATACATTACCTTTCGTAATCAAGCCAAATATAATTAACCTGAACATCCGTTATGTTGAAATTACATTTTTCGTTTATATCGTTTAAATCAAACCGGTATTTCATTAACTGGTGGATTCCGTCCGAAAAGATATTACCGTATAATATCCGTACTTCCATTAACGTTCATGTGAAATTTCGTAATGTATGAAATATCTCAAAAACAATGAATAAAGAAGTAAATGATAGTGCAAATTGCAGACATGGTTTTGATCCATGTTCATGAGAGATTATTGAAGGTGTCACATCTCTCACACCCGGGCATTGGCTTAAACGGTATTTAATCCTCAATACCCGAAGTATTGGAAATAATAAGACTTAATGATAATTAATCCTCAAGCTCAAAAATCCGTTAACATATAGCTAGTTGTCATCTAGCGAAACATACATTTACTATTGCAATCAATCTGAACATACATCGTCTCTTATTTCTTTCTCGCGGATCTTTTTATATATTATTCGAACAGAAAGTTTATCTATAAACACATTAATGCCTTGGTAAGTTTTATCATAAACTGTTTCATTTAAAAGCTGATATATGATTATATTAGACTGATTTTCTCAATAAGAATAATTCAAAGTATTCAGTACTTAACACATATTTTAAAACTTTCTTATTTTAATAAAATCTATATTTTATATCAATTGTTTACAAATCGAAGCAATAATACAGATTATATTCTTCCTAAAGTTTGCGTAAGCTATCAGTTAAGGAGTGTGTTGAAATATTTTGTTACCTTGTGCCGCAATATAAGCGCGGTCTTTGTGATGACCCTGTTCAACAAATAAAAAAACCTGGTTTAAAGTTTGAAAACAAGTTTTCACATACTAATGCAGAGCAGTTTAAGCTTAACTCATTGTGAATATTTTTAGTGTTCTATAGAAAATATGACTGCCTTTTAATACATGACACTGTTTTTATTTCTTTCACCGTATTTGCTTTTTCTTGATCTTATCGCATTATAAAGAAATGTCTGTCCTACCCGAAGTGATTTTATTTGTAATTTTGTTACTGTTTCGATACATTTATGAAACATTCAACGGTGTATTGAAAATCTTTTTAAAACCTTTTATCAATCTGAAACGTTAAAAAGTCTCACCTTGATAAAACTCGCGTTGATATAATCCGATCCTCGTTCCTTTGGTAGTGTTTTCAGCATAACACGTGTTTCATCATCTGTATAAACAAAATATTTAGTCTTGTAACTGTACTTGATTATGTGTTATTTCTATAATATTTACAAAAGTCATCATTTTGTAATGACATTTTGCCACAACATGTATAAGATATGCATTTACATCATTCATGGATATTTACAAATATCTCTTGTAAATGTTTTACGAGCCATGCTTTCCACGAACATTATGATCAGCCCTATCAGTATTATACCTTTTTAAAAATATGTACAAAAAATATTTTCTTCGGTATGTTTTTTAATAGTATATCAGAAAGATTGCAGCTCTAGACAAAGACTAAGTTTTGAAATCGGAACCTGAAATTATTAAAATAAATTGTAGCAACGCTGCCAGTGTGTTTCATGATTTTAAGAAGCTGAATCATACAGAAAATTAGCTATCATATATTTCATAACGATGTGACTATGTCTCTAAAGACATCTAAAGTTATGAACGAAATTCAAGTTTAAACATTTGAAATCAACTTGCCCTGCTTGGAATTGAAATAAGAATTAATTTGATTTAATCTAATAAGAAACTGTAAAAATTATATGGTAACTTTACAGTTTTTCTGGTTGAGTTGATTTTTACATGTTTATAATTTCAAACACAGCATCTCAGTAGGAAAATAGACTTTCTGACTGCTAACTGGATAGCACCAATGCATGAATTATTTGATATTAAATAATGTTGTACTTTTCACTTACATGCATGCATGTCCTTATATCTGTTCTTTTCACGGTTATATGATTTGTTGGCAACATTAGATGTTTTTTTCATTCCATAAGGTATTTCCTGATGAAAGATAAAACAAACAAAAAAAACAAGTTAAACTATGGAGAAATATATAAAATGAGCATACAACAAATTCACATTTACATTTACCAAGCCTTCGAAAAGTTACAAAAATAATCGAGAACTTCATCAAGAGCTTTATTCTTATTCTAAACGAATGGATTAATCTTAGAATGAAAATAAAAACGTTTCAATTCCCTAAAAAGAATATCAAAGACCTTAAATTCTTTGGCAAAGCTGTCATGGTTTGCCAGATTTTCCTTGACGTATGGAAGAAGGTTTGACAGTGGAATGGCATTTCTGAAGGGACTATTCATCGGGAAGTTTTTGTAAATGTTCTCATCACCTGCCGCCATATTTGCACTGTCACCTGTTGAAAGAAAAACACGTAGAAAAAACATGCATTTTTATAAATGTGTTGATAAATTATGTTAACAGTTTCAGCTTTTAACGTGTTAAAACAGATAAAATGTCTTGTTTGAACGTTTGATGTATAATTGTAGCGGAACAATTCTTTGAAAATCTTGTTACTGCAATCATGAAACTGGTACTTGAACTCACGAATGCATTTAGACTTTCAAGAAAATAAGTAAGAAGGAATTGCGTTTTATCCAGATGGTTTATCATTAAAGTATTTGGTAGTATCACACAGGTATACAAAAGCTTCACAATTGTATTATACAATTCAGACATGTACGATTTTATCTGAAATATTTCGATGGATATTATAATAATTTTATAAAATTAGATAAATAGTAAGCTTTCAATTATCGTGCCATTCTTTCAAGATATTACAATTAAGTAAATTAATGTGCCGTTTTAATGAAATGTTATTTATTTTGCGTGTCCAAACACATTTGATATGATCTTAGAGACGAAATGTCGATAGACCCTTCACATCCCGTAGTCTGCGTCCAAAATTTATGATTTCTGTTTTTAGTGCAGCAAAAAAATAAATAAATACTTACATCAATATTATTTTTATATAACTGTGTGTACTTACAAAAGAGAGACTTCTTTTTATTTATGTTTAAATGGGATTAATATTTGATAGATAATGCTATATTGGGTTATCTAAGATATTATATATTATGACACACAATAATGCATTTCAAATGTATGCAACAATTAGATTACCCTACTTTGCTAAAAGACTGGTATATACAGCAATTAAGCCTTGGTTTAACACCATTGGAAATTCCTTTTTATACCATAATTATGTTAACACTCGGTTTGATTAAGCCTGTTCATGGACGATACTCGTCTGGTAAATGCAAATTACCGTCCACGCCCACTAGCACCGGCTTCAGCAGAATTCAGCATTTAAACACAAAAATTGTGAAATCTTAAATTAAGAAACATCCGCATATGTGTTCATACGGCGTTTATCATAAAACCTTCAATGTCACACATAAAAAGCGGCTAATGGTCCCGAAATAAAAGAATGCGTGTGCCTTCAACGAGAAAACAATTGGCGGAACTAAATAAAATTGAATTTTGAAGGGGGGTCTGAGGTCATGAAGCCTGCATATAACAGACAAGACGTCAAAAGACAGTTTCAAAGCAGGCAATATATCCCAAGGGTGATTATCGCGAAGCCAAGTAGCAATACTGATTCCACTGAAGTTGAAAAAGGCCTACAAAACTAAATGTGCTGGAATCAATGAATTAAAAGTGTTATGTATGCAACATATTACATGTATATCATATTACATGTATATAATTTATATCTGACCAGTTGGTATTTCCAATATTATCATTGTTCTATTTTTAAAACATAAACTACATGTATGTACTAGAACGTTCTTAACTGTTGTAGAAAACTTATGCATTATATTTAGATAGAAATTTCTGGAATGATCTTTATTGGTAAAGTTGCTAGATTATGATTACTGTAGTAAATGGAAGACTATTCTAGAAACTTCTTAGTTAATATATATAAGGAGACATTTTTCATTACTCTTACCTTTTTAGTCATCAGTGATCTTTTAAGTCATCAATATATTTGGAGTATTATTCAACTTGGAAATTAAGTGATTTATTGGAGCTTGGATTATTAATTATTCTTGTGGATTTTATTGTGGGAATTTATTCTAAAGTGTTCTTGGATTTAACTTGGATTTAACTGTGCTATTGAAAAAGGATCATTCCAGGATCAGACTAGACATTTGTAATTTTTATTTGGACTTCAGGTATTTGTAAAGATAATTTGTTATTTTATTTTTCTTTAATAATTTTTCTGTAATAAATTTGTTATTGTTACAAGTTTGTTGCTGGCTTTTCTTTCTCGTTACGCCTGGCTCGTAACAGAAATTGGGGGCTCGTCCGGGATTTGAATATTTCTTTTTGGCTACATTATTGGAAATTATTACCGTTTATTTTACATTTTTATTACCGTATTTACTCATTTGAGTTGATACCATAGTTGTTCTATTAAGTGTGCTTTTCAATTCTGAATTTTATTAAACACTTTAAAACCAGCAGCAAGCAGTCATGTCTTTTGATTTAGAAAAGTTTGTAGCTGAACCTTCCCAGGAGTTATTAGATTTGGCTAAGAAAACTGATTTGCTTGATCTTGCAAAAAAAAGTATAATTTATCAGAAATTAAATCTTCAATGCGTAAACAAGAAATAAAAAATCTTCTGATTCATTATTTTGTGGATGAAGATATTTTTGGACAAGATGCACTTTCTCACATTATTGAAAAACACTCTGAAATTTCTGAAATAAAAATAAGAGAGCTTGAACTTCAATTTAAATTTGAACTAGAGAAAATGAAATTAGAAAAAGAAAGGGAAGAAAGGCAGTTACTGTTAGAAAAAGAAAGGGAAGAAAGGCAGTTACTGTTAGAAAAAGAAAGGGAAGAAAAAGAAAGGGAAAGGCAGTTTGAAAAAGAAAGAGAAGAAAGAGAATTTCAGTTAAGAATGAGAGAATTAGAAATCAAAGAGAGAGCAAATCAGTTTGAACATAGAATAAATTCAAAATTTGATGTCACTAAAAATATTAGGCTTGTTCCACCTTTCCAAGAAAAAGAAGTTGATACGTATTTTCTTCATTTTGAAAAGGTTGCTGAAAATTTAAAATGGCCAAGAGAGCACTGGACATTACTTTTACAGAGCGTACTGGTAAAGCTCGTGAAATCTATACACAACTTACTGTTGAACAAAGCTCTAATTATGATAATGTAAAAGAATTAATTCTGAAAGGTTATGAGTTAGTACCAGAGGCCTACAGGCAAAAATTCAGAAATTCTAAGAAAGAAATTGGTCAAACTCATGTCGAATTTGCAAGAGAAAAAGAACAACTTTTTGATCGGTGGTGTCTATCTAAGAAAATAAATAAAAATCATGAAAAGCTCAGACAGCTCATGTTAGTTGAAGAGTTTAAACGTTGTATTCACTCAGATGTTAAATCTTTCCTAGATGAAAAACAGGTAGAAACTTTAGAAGAAGCTGCCCGTCTAGCTGATGATTATTCTTTAACCCACAAAGTCTCATTTATAAATAAAGGGAAGTCCACACCCTCACATTTTAATTCCAAGTTCAGTTCTGGTAATTTATCTGGCTCATCTAGTCAGTCAAATACTCCCAAACCAAAGTCATCTGATGAACATAAAGGTCATAGTCCCTTATCTCGTCCTACATGCAATTATTGCAAGAAAACTGGACATCTTATTTCTGATTGCTTTACCTTAAAAAGGAGGCAACAACAACGTGATGAGGCCAAACCCACAGGTCTTACCACTTCAAGGTCTGAACCTCAGTCTTGTATTGATAACAATGCAATTTTGAAGGTCAAAGAACCCAAGTCTGATTCTATAATGGAGATTTATGAACCATTCCTTTCGGAAGGTTCCGTGTCACTTATCGGTGATACTTGCCCACTGCATTTTTCTGAGAAGACTTCTTCTGGATCTAGTGTCCTTATTCAGGGTGTAGAGTGTGGTTTTTCTAATGTCCCTCTCCATAATATTTATTTGTCCTCAGATTTGGTAACTGGGCCGGTGGCTGTAGGTATAAGATCTTTCTTACCCTTTAAAGGTGTTCATTTATTGCTAGGTAATGACTTAGCTGGAGATAAGGTAGTGGTTAATCCACTTGTAACTGACACTCCTTGTGTGGATCAGATACCTGACCCCATTGAGCAGGAAATTCCTGACCTTTACCCTTCATGTGCAGTTACTCGAGCTATGGCTAAGAAGGCCATTCAAGAAGATAATTATTGTTCAGATATTGACTTAGCTGATACTTTTATAGGTCAGTCTTTTGATAATGAAATGAATTTTTCTCTCACTCCTACTCTGCCTGAAACTCAGACAGATTGTTCAATATCTGACTTTTCTACACCAAGATCTAAAGATCAAGGTCATGACACGCTGTCAAGGTCACAGCTTATCAAGGAACAGCAAAACGATCCTGAGATTTCAGTCCTTTTTCAAAAGGCTTTTAATGAAATTGAAGCTTTACAAGTCCCTGTTTGTTATTATGAAAAGAATGGGATTTTAATGAGAAAATGGCGACCGCCCAATGTCCCTGCTGAAGAGGAGTGGACTGTTAATCACCAAATTGTGGTCCCTAAATCATATCGCCAGGAAATATTAAGCTTGGCTCATGAAACACCCATGGCAGGTCATTTAGGTGTTAATAAAACCTACCATAAAATTCTCAGTCATTTTTATTGGCCTTGCCTTAAAGCAGATGTATCTAGGTACTGTAAATCTTGTCATACTTGTCAGATGGTGGGAAAACCTAACCAGACAATACCTAAAGCTCATTTACAGCCTATTCCTGCATTTGATGAACCTTTTAGTAGAGTTATTATTGACTGTGTAGGTCCATTACCAAAAACTAAATCAGGTTCTCAGTACTTATTAACTATAATGTGTGCTTCTACGCGCTTCCCTGAAGCTATTCCTTTAAGAAATATTAAAGCCAAAACTATTGTCAAGGCTCTTGTGAAATTTTTCACATTTGTTGGTTTACCTAAATCAGTACAGTCTGATCAAGGGTCAAATTTTATGTCTGGTATTTTCCAGCAGGTCATGCATGAGTTAGGAATTACTCAATATAGGTCTTCAGCCTATCACCCTGAAAGTCAAGGTGCATTAGAGAGATTTCACCAGACTCTGAAAAATATGATAAGGTCATATTGTTTTGACACTGAAAAAGACTGGGATGAAGGCATCCATTTATTGTTATTTGCTGTAAGAGAATCTGTTCAGGAATCTCTTGGCTTCAGCCCTTTTAAATTAGTATTTGGTCACACTGTTCGAGGACCCTTAAAACTTCTTAAAGAGAAATTCCTGTCTGAAGATGTCATATCTTTAATTTTGCTTCAGTATGTATCAGATTTTCGAAATAGGTTGACT